CAGATTTAAGACATGAAACCAAGTATTCAATTCATCGAAGTTTAGAGTCGCTACGCCAGTCTAAGGAGCAGGTTCTTTACAGGAATCTTCCAAACTGTATCAAAACACCTACATTACCCCGAGCAAGACAGAGAGGATGAGTTATAGAGGTGACACAGGTGACGGCGTAATGGTGTATAAGAGAGAGTTACTACTGTCTTTAGGAGAGCTGATTGAAGAGACACCGCTGACTTAATTGATCCTTGCTGCCTGTTATTATACGTTCACTTCTGTTGTTTTGAGCTTTAGATATCACGGGTGTGGTGTGTGTAAGCGTGCCCAGCACTAGACCTAACTCAACACTGTAATATTAACAGTCCATCTAGCACAGCTTACGGGCTCACTATAGCCCGTGCTATTTAAGAACTTTTTATTCTGTGTACCTTAATCTAAAACAACAACTAGCTCTTCCCAATGTTGAAGATGACACGTTAGGGCTTATCGAGCACCAACAGCCTAATACATTACAGCTCGACTTGAAGCCGTGTTTTCCTCCCATGCAAGGAATAATTTTCTTTTTTAGCTGTACCTATATCTTCAGCTAGAATAGCCTAGACCTAGAGACCCTCGGTACTGAAGTTGCTCTCCTTCTTGGTGCCCAACTTCCCACGGAGTTAAGTATATTTGCAACAAGGTGGAAGCCGACAAATGTGGTTTTCATCGTCTGCACTCTAGAAGTCCAAAGGTTGCCAACCAAGACACGTTTGAATTAGTTATATCACCAGGAGCAGCTTTGTGAAAGCCCAATGCTTAGCAGAGAGAGAACATCGATTAATTTACATTAAAACTTCTGACAGTCCTACTGGTGGTCCAGATGGGATTACAATGCACTCCTGGAAGCATGGTAGACAGTTGGTGTGGAACTACACACGTATATCCAACCAAGCTGATACCTCAGGAAGAGTCAGACAGGAAGAGCAGCCAAGTGTAGGAAAACACTCAAAATATCATTGATAATTAAGCCATCTGTTCATATTTATGTCCTTGGCCCCTGGGCCCAGTGTGCTATGAATTATCTCTAAGAATTGGATTCTAAGGGACACAATTAAAGGCTAAAAGGCTACCAGTTTCCTGTTCGAACACCTCAGTGTAGTGAACCAGAGGAAAACCTCGTGCCATTTGATTGATTCCCAGCACAGGTTTGAAAAATGTTGGTCGGTTCGAGGTTAGACGAAGAAGGGTGAAGGTCGGGATTAGAGTGGAGAAGGGGGAAGAGGGGAAGCGGGTTAAAGAGGGAAAAGAAGGTGAGAGAGGAGGATAGGGAGATGGGATGAGGAAGGGAGACGGTGAGGGAGGGAAGATAGACAACAAGGGTGTGTGTGTGTGTGTGTGTGTGTGTGTGTGTGTGTGTGTGTGTGTGTGTGTGTGTGTGTGTGTGTGTGTGTATGCGTGCGTGTGTGCGTGCGTGTGTTTCTAAATCAACACAGCTCTTCCCCAAACGCGAGAACAGGTCACATACACACACAACTCCCACTAAACGCGAGTAGAGACCAAACAGCTCTCTCCAATCGCGAGTGGACCCCCACAGACAATCTTCAATAGCTCTAAATCTCTCTGTCACTCCTGATGGCTGTATCTGACGTTTGCCTCTAGTTCTCTCTAAACACAGCAGTCGAATTTGACTAGAGTTCCATCTGCTTCTATCTCGGATTCATTGGTACTTCTCCACATTGAGTTCCTCTCATCCTTACCTGTCCATAAATATGTTTCCTAATCCTCTATTGTGTAGTTCCACACCTAGCAAGGCCGCTTATATGGGAATGTAGCGTAAGCAGTATCCTGTAAACTTATTCACAGCAATAAAGAGAAGACTCTACCTGGGCCTTCTCTTCCTCTCTCTTCCACTACACATAAGGGTCATAACTGGCCGACCCCTCACAGTGTTCAAGAGAGAACTGGATAAGCACCTCCAAAGGATACCTGATCAACCAGGCTGTGACTCATACGTCAGGCTGCGAGCAGCCGCGTCCAACAGCCTGGTTGATCAGTCCGGCAACCAGGAGGCCTGGTCGACGACCGGGCCGCGGGGACGCTAAGCCCCGGAAGCACCTCAAGGTAACCTCAAGGTAACCTCAAGGGCTCTAACCACCGGTTTGCAAAACATCTTCAATTACAATTAAAATTCAATGATAGTTATTTATTATTCAGTGAAGAGTATCTATGTGATAGTTGCTGAAGAAAGTGTTGAAAGGGGTAGATATTGGTGTTGTGGGGTGTAGAGACGGGTACTGACATTAGGTGTAGTTAAAGGTAATGATGTTAAGCCAGACATAACTCATTTCACTCTGTTTAGTGAAAATAATCTTTCAGATTATGTAATTGTCAGGTAATGGGTCTGATACCGGATTACAGGCCAAGGATTACAATGAATTTCAAACAACAACAGCAGCTACATTCGATCCTAAATAGGATATTTTTAATTGGAAGATTTTAGTGATATATGAAATGTGAAGAATACTTTTAAATGTATATTTGGAATAACAATGAGTTATTTAATTAAATAAGCTTTTCCATAAGTTTGCTCTTTGATCAAAGAAAAAGTATTTAGCTTTGAGGAAAGAGTTTGCTCCAAATTTCAAGCCATTGTTTTATTAATTGATGTTATACAAAGGAAAATTAAAATATTTTTCTGGTCAAGATTTTAATGGCTTTATGATCTTAAACACTCTTATTAAATAGTCACTTATTTTCCTTCTTTCAAGCATTCACGCAATTACATTGAACTTTTTCAGACGAATGTCGTCTGATAAATTTCATTATCTTGATATTCTTGTTCCTCAAAGTTTGAACATATGCTTATTTTCAATATTTATTTTCAATTGCAGAGACGTACTAACGAGTTGTATAAACGAAGAATAACTTTATCCGAAAGAAATTCAGAAGATTACCCACTGAAACCTAACGTTCTATTGTCTCTATATACAACCTCAGTATAGTGCCTACATGTTTACATATCATTAGCTATTTACACTCGCAGGTATCTTCCTTCGTCAACTCTATCTCGTTCATCTGACAGTTTGTCTTTTAAGATCTGTTTGCAATATATATTACTTCTAATTTGTGAGCATTAAACTTATTCATTCAATACACTCATTCATTAAACTCTCATTCAGTTAAACGATTTTTTTGAAAGGTGTAACGTTAGTTAGGTTAAACTAGGTAAGTGGAATTGGATTGTAATCTCTGCTGCTATTAGTGTTCTAGCTTTATTGTCTAATGTTGGGTTATCGGCATCAATAAGGTCATCGATTTTGAACTCAGTACGAGCCATTATCGATGTCATTTATTTAAATCAAGAAGAGAACTGGTACCAAGACTGATCTTAGGGTCTAACTTGATACAGTTCCATTTAAAACAACACGTAATTTGTTTCCAGAAATACAGCACATTTTTTATTCAACTGAGCTCATTGTCGGTAATATAATGCTCATTTATTTATCAACAGTAATCGTGGATAAATTCCTTTATCAAATATTTTCTGAAATTCCACATATATAATATCTAGCACCTTTCTATTGTTGATCATATTAAAAGTATTATCAAAGAATCTAATAGATGGAAAGCAGAACACATTAATAAATAGTTTATGTGACCTTATCAAGAAAAATTGAAGCTAATATTATGAGAGGCAAAAAAAACAAAAAAAAAACAATTGCATTAAAACAGGATCAACAGAGAGAAAACTGCAAAAATAATCATGTGAAATCTGAATAGGGGTAAAAACCCAGTATTAATTGCATCGTAAAAAACGCTGATCAAAATTACATATGCAAATGTGAACATTTATCGGAAATACAAGGAGCGCTAAAATTTAATTTGAATTAAATTACATATATATATATATATATATATATATATATATATATATATATATATATATATATATATATATATATATATATATATATATGTACATACAAAAGAAAGGGGGTGGTAGGAGAGGATAATATTAGTGTTCAGTGAGAAACCACAAGGTCTCCTCTGAATACTTTTTATTTTCTTCTCCGAGGCTATTGGTCCCCACATTGGCACCAGAGGTGGTACCCATGGATATATATATATATATATATATATATATATATATATATATATATATATATATATATATATATATATATATATATATATATATATATATATATATATATATATATATATATATATATATATATATATTCATTGAATGTTATTATCAGTGGAATGCTCTTAATCGCCGCCCCAGCTCCCAGACCAGACTCAGTGACATAGAGAAATAGTCAATTTTGACAGCTCTATGGTTGATAAAATAACAACCATAGAGCTGTTGCCCCGGCTCCTAGCTGCTTCGTCACAACATGTTGTACCTATGCTGTTGTACGTCACAACATGTTACCCATGTTTGTAACAGGGCTACGTGAGTTTAAAAATACGGGAATGGAGTTTTGAAGCTAAATGAAAATGTTGTCTATTAATGTGATTTGTAGAGATTATGGTTCTTTCTGTTGTGTGGTTGGCACAGGTGATTGATCTCGTGTTGTGGAGAAGGCGTAACGGGAGGAGTGATTATTGTGGAGGAAAAGGGTAGGTGGGGTGTGTTGTTGTTGTTGAGGAGATGTGCTGGTGTTGTGGAAGAGAGAACGGTTGTAGCTAGGTGGGGCAATGATTAGTGTGAGACTTTAGAGAGCTCTGTTCTATGGAGAAAAACAGCATCCTACCTAAGAGATGAGATGATCCATGAATCCCACAACCCCAAGCTCTGCCTAAACTAATTTACTCGCAAAACTGTGAAATAGTTATTATTTCCAGCATCTCTCCCGTATGTAAATCCTGTATACTTCCGTTACCTATGAAGGATTTATATGTATATATATATATATAGGACCCACAATTATACGTCTGGCAGCGCGGAGAGAGTGCCGGCAGCGTGGGATCTTGGGTTCCTGGGAGTCTGGAGATCAGTGTGCTCCTGGCAACTGGAACAGTCGGTCGCCTGTTATCCCCGTCTCTCTCACCCTCGTCCAGAGCAAATGCTCGCTCACTTATAGCTTCGCGATCGTGTCATTAGCTAATTGAGCATCAGTAAAACCACACTTTGTGCCTATAAGGAGGTTCGAAAACTTTTTGTTTGTACTTGAAACTTTTTGTTAAGTTTAAAACCACGAAGAAAAAAGTGATATTTTGATATATACAGCAATACTATATTGTAAAGTCCTGGTAATTTATTAGATACCAGTTCTTGATCGTAATTTAAAACTGTCCTTTCTACTGCGTACGCGCGTAGGAGACATATATTTCATAGTGTAAATCAAAGTTGATAAAATCAAGCTTCGACACATTCTGAACATTTTCAGAAGAACGAACGCTCAGTACCTATCGAACAATTCACATCCTTTGCATAGAAGAGTTTTCATAATTTTTGTATTAAAAGATATTCCGAGTAAAAATTTACAAGGTAAAAATCTTGTGGAAAAGGCACTAACAGCAAGCAATTTAGAGGAAGTTTTGAGCGAACCAGCAGGTGAGATCTGAGAGTTTGTCTCCTTGTAAACTTGAGAACTCTTGCTCCGGTCTTTCTCAGAGCTCTTGTCCAGGTCTGACAAGGAACACTTGGCCACCAGCCTCAGAACTTTTTGTCTACATCTACCTTAGAACTCTTGCCTAGGTCAAGAGTTCTACGGAATCTACATACATTGAGGATCAATGAGTAGAGTTTCTTTCACCCTATGCCCCTGTTACCTAGCAGTAAAATAGGTACCTGGGTGTTAGTCAGCTGTCACAGGTTGCTTCCTGGCTTCCTGGGGGTGGAGGCCTGGTCGAGGACCGGGCCGCGGGGACACTAAAGCCCCGAAATCGTCTCAAGATGATCTCAAGATGGGTGTACCTTATCTACCTTGGATCACTTACCAGACTACCTCATCCAAGTCTACCACAGTCTTCTTACCCAGGTTTACATCAGAACTCTTAGCCAGGTAAACTTTACAACTAATCAGGTCAACATCAAAGATATTATCTATATGTATCTGCAGAAATTTATCTCACAGCTTTAATGTTTATCTCTGATGCCATACCCACAACATTTTATCCTTGGCTGGCAGAGTGGCTTCCCTGGATAGACACTCAGGCAGAGCCAGGTTCGAATCCTCAAGGATACCACAGAAGGGATGCTGTGAAATTTAGCCAATCGATATATTTGTGTGAGTATAAATGTGGTTAATCGGACGATAGGCCTATATTTTATTTAATAAATGGTGTTATGTATTATCCATTATAATCACATTAATTAAGGTAAGAGTGAAAGCCAGCTTGTAATTAATAGTCTCACGCACGCATGCACGTACGTGCGCGCGTGCGTGCACTCACACACACACACACACAAACACACACACACACCACACATTCATATTCCCACATACGCACATGCGCATCGACACAGACACACACACACACACACTGGGGGTTGGGGGAGGGCCTCGCGGCTGAGTGGACAGCGCTCTGGGTTCGTAATGCTAGTATATGTGGTAGACATCCCCTGCAGAGGCAGAAGCAAATCGGCAGAGATTTTTTCACATGATGTGCCTGTTCACCTAGCAGTAAATAGGTACCTGGGAGTTAGACAGCTGCTACGGGCTGCTTCCTGGGGATGTGTGTATGTGTGTGTGTTTGTGTGTGTGTGTGTGTGTGTGTGTGTGTGTGTGTGTGTGTGTGTGTGTGTGTGTGTGTGTGTGTGTGTGTGTGTCTGTGAGAGAAAAAAAATAATTAGTAGTTTAGTAGTTAGTAACAGTTTATTGATTGACAGTTGAGAGGCGGGCCGAAAGAGCAGAGCTCAACCCCCGCAAGCACAACTAGGTGAATACACACACACACACACACACACACACACACACACACACACACACACACACACACTCACACTCACTCACTCACACACACACACACACACACACACACACACACACACACACACACACACACACACACACACACACACACACACACACACACACACACACACACACACACACACACACACACACACACACACACACACACACACACACACACACACTCACACACACACACACACACACATACACACACACACACACACACACACACACTAAGTAACTCACACTAAGAGGCATGAGTTGCGAGGAAAGGCTGCGTGAAATGCACCTCACGACACTGGAAGACAGAAGAGTAAAAGGAGACATGATTACTACCTACAGAAATCAAAATTCTCAGAGGAATTGACAGAGTAGATAAGGATAAACTTTTTAACACGGGTGGTACGCGTATGGGGCAGTGATGTAGTGGAGGCTGACTCCATACCCAGTTTCAATTGTAGATATGATAGAGCTCGAGAAGCTCAGGAATCTGTCCACCAGTTGATTGATCTGTTGAGAGGCGGGACCAAAGAGCCAAAGCTCAACCCTCGCAAGCACAAATAGGTGAGTACACACACACACCTGTTACCTGTTGATTGACAGTTAAGAGGCGGGACCAAAGAGCCAGAGCTCAACCCCCGCAAGCACAACTTGGTGAGTACAACAACGTGAGCACACACACACACACACACACACAGACACACACACACACACACACACACACACACACACACACACACACACACACACACACACACACACACACATTTATGCAAATGACCTATCTACACGACTTGAATCTTATATGTCGATCTTTGCAGACGATACAAAATTAGCGAGAAGAGTTGTGGCAGATGAGGAGTGTAAGATTCCCTAAACTGAAATAAAATAGCTGCCGAGTTTGTCTGAGAAATGGTTACCGAATTGATCTTAGACCATGAAGGGAAAATTCCTCTCTGTAACGACTTGAGAAAAAGTAAAGCTTCTTAGACTAATGCATTCGTCTCAGTGCTTCATGAGGACGGCAAAGAACGGGAGACAAGAGCTAGGAGGAAGTGAGGGTCGTAGAGTGGAGACATAGAAAGTCAGAGACACAGAGAGAGCGTTAGATAGTGATAGCTATAAGAAAGAGAGAGATACAGATAGGTAAAGAAAAAGTGGGAAGACAGTCAGATAGACCCTGGCAAAGCCGGATAACCCACATTCACTAGTAGAAGAAAAAATAAATAAGACAGACATGTTAACGACATGTAAGATTCTAAAGGGAAATGAAGAATTAGACAGAATAAAGATTCAGGATCTGAAGCAGAACAACAAAGGAGCATAAATGGGAACAGGAGACAAATAGATATCACCAGAAATTTCTTCAGAGTAACTGGCATAGATAAATTTAATAGATTAGATAAAATATTTAGTGCCACATATAAATTTGATAAGAAAACCAGGGAAAATAGCAATTGGAATTCATTACATTGTCTAAGTAAGTCTGTATGAGTGTTGTTTGAGTGTATATATATCAAACAAATCAACAATTCATTGAATGAATGATCATCCTGAACAACAATGCATAATACGTGTGTTGATCACACAAAACATTAATGCGTATTATACATGTATGATACAAAGCAACACTGCACAGTTGTATGACCATCAGAGTAAAAAATTCAAATATTTAGGTAAATACAGATCCCAAAGTAAATTAAACTCAGAACTATCGCAGCGCTGAAACGAGTGTTTGTGGCATCAAGTGAATAACAGCCAATTTGGGAGCTAAATTTAATGAACTGTGAATATAGAGTGAATTTAACTGTCATCAATTCAGAAACGCAAATTATATGCGTAAATACAATCATTAATGCATGAAAGTCAAACTCATGGCGTATAAAACTAATAGCATATACAACAAATTTTAAAATCGTTTATTTTTACGCATGCACTAAGCCCGTCTGATTGATGTTTCAAAAAGTTGAACAGAGGTATTATTTATATTTTTTTTATTGGGAGGTACAATAGTAGATAATTTCTGATTCTTGTTGACATGTTCAAAGGTCTCTTCCTACAGCTCAGCTTAAGCTGCTGTACCGTACCTGTCTTCTGTGCTACACGATATACCAATGTTCAGAATCATAAGCCTGTACCCAGATACCCTCAGAAAACGTGTCCTCAGTAAATTGGACGGCTCTTCAATTCAGTTTCAGTTGGCTTAAGGTCTGCCACTCGCGGTAGTGTAGTTAAACCCGTCATAATATCTTACTGAAAAAAGCAGCAAGAATACTTTATAATACCTCAACTTATTCAAGAAATTAAGTGTGGTATGGGTGTATATACTGACACATAATGTGTACAAGCGGAGTACACTTTTAAGTGAATATATCTGGATGTGTTTATTTAAGCCAGCTCTCCCCCTCCCATTTTCCTTTCCTGTTGATGAGAAAAACCGTTCACAAAGGCTCGTAGGTGATTACGTTCAGATCTTTCCTAACATGAACTTAGTTTACTTCCAATTGTTCATTGCCATCCTCTTTTTTTTAACTTCATTTCTGACAAATAAACACAAATTCTTGCAAAAGATATTAAAACACCGAACTGAGCACCTAGGCCTATGCGCAAAACCATATTATATAGGCTAATAATAATATTTTATTATTACCATCATAGTAAACAATGATGATTCATCATTACGTAATATACGTAACCGATAAATGTAAAAAAAATTACATATGTGCCTTTTGCCGACTGTCACAGCTTGAACGATCAAAGCTTGATGCTACGTCACCTTGAGAGTGACATGAGAGTATTTTAGAATGGCAATCTGGAATGGATTCCAGAAGGATAATCCAAATGGAATGGATAATGAAGCTTTAATGCTTTAATATCCAACTGAACGGATGTTGAAGCTGTTATACGGATTAAAAATTGCAACTCGGGAGTGCATTCAACACCACCACAAAACCAGGGACTCCTGAAGAACAATATAGAAAGAAAAATACTGGACTAAATGACACGTTCAATCCATTAGTAGAATTATTCACATATATCAACAGTTGAATTATTCGTCAATATTAACAATAGAATTCAATCGGTGAATACATACTGCAAAATATATCATAGAATGTAACTGAAAGTTTATGCGTTATTCTTTTAACTGTTCATTCAGGCGCAATTGAATTGAATTTCACCAAACTTTGCCTAGTTTCCAAATTCCCTGAGGAAGGCTAAAGGCT